GGGGGTGTTCCCCGGTGTCCAACCGCGGCTGGAAGTTGGGTCTCACTTGGGAAAGGGCAATCCGCGTTTTTCAACATCTTCGGGGCGCTGCAAGTCGATGAAATTAAAAATAGCGACGGCGAAAGGAAAGGAAAAACCCCAGAAAGTCCCGCGGGGCTCCTCGGCCGTTGCTGGTGACTGGGGGCTGTTGGCGTAACAGAAGGGGTGTTCCCCGGTGTCCAACCGCGGCTGGAAGTTGGGTCTCACTTGGGAAAGGGCAATCCGCGTTTTTCAACATCTTCGGGGCGCTGCAAGTCGATGAAATTAAAAATAGCGACGGCGAAAGGAAAGGAAAAACCCCAGAAAGTCCCGCGGGGCTCCTCGGCCGTTGCTGGTGACTGGGGGCTGTTGGCGTAACAGAACTGGGAGCGTTTGTAAAATGTCCTCCCCCCTCTACTTCCTGACGCCTTTTCCTGGATCTGAACTGCACGCTCTGCCAGCAGCTCGCTCTACGCAGTTCCTTTTCCTTCAAGATCACAATTATTTTCCCCCAAATCCACTTTTTAATTTCTTTTTCTTTTCAGTAGAATGCTTTGTTTTGCTGCATCCAGACACTGACTCTTCATTTTCTTTGCAACTTTTAAGCCTTGGGGCAGCAAGGGCTTGTGTGCTGGACTGAAGCGATGCAATAATACGATTAAGGTGCCGTTATTTGATTTCTTTTCCTTTATTTTTATTTTTTTTTCTGTCTGACCTGTTCTTGCCTTGGCTATCAAGGGGTCCCTGCTATTTGGGAACTGCAAATCATAAAGGCACATCAGGGTAGGAGAGATTGACATCAGTCAGATAAAGCCTGAGGCTTAGATGCATCGCACGCCAGTTTCTACACTTTGCTGAGATAACGAAAAGTGAAACTGCAGCCCTGGATGTCCTGGACGATTGTGCCACATCCATTTCTCCAGTCCCCATGAACTTTTGTCTGATTTTTCAGGCCATTCTTTGGCACAGGAAACAGTTGATCTCCTGGGTGATGCCAAAAAATAAAACCCCAGCAGGGTTCTAGGGAGTTCATTTCCACGCGAAATGTCTGGATCAGAGATGACCTGAAGTGCTCCAGTGGGGTGGTTGTTCCTGATGAACTTTCCCTCCGTTCCGAGGTCAATCCTCGCTGCTGCTGTCACTGAGATCAGCTGAGAGGGTTCTGCTTTGGATTCCTGGAATTGAATTGTCTGGGATTGGCTGCAGGGTTTTCTCAGCCCCTTGACAGATGGCCAGGACTGAAGCCTGCGAGGCGTGGTGGCAAAGAAGGTGATTTAGTGCCCTGATTCCAGTCCTGCCCAGGCTCCTGGCAGTTTGGACACTGTTTTGATTGATGCACCCACTACAGATTTATGTTGTGTCATTCGCAGCGTCACAACGCAAGTATTTCTTTGCAGATAACTCCCGTGAAAGCTTTAGTGCTGTTTGTTGACCCTGCTGTCATGCAGTGTATTCATTGCGATACCGAGAGTCGTCTTGCAGTTTCAGCATAGCAGTCACGAGTAGCATAGCTATATCAGCCTCATGACACAGGCTTGCGAGGCAGAACTATGCTGATCAGCCTAACCGGGATCTCCTCCGTTCACACTCTTCCATGGGAGCTGAGCTTAGCAAGGTAACTCTCTTCCCTTGGAGCCAGGAAGCTGAAGATGAACGATGCTGTATTTGGAGGTCAAGTCTTTGCTTTGGATTTGAATGCAGAAAGCGAGGAGTTTGCTTAGCAGCAGCATGAGTGTGTCTTGTGGGGCTCGCCACGGGCAGCCTGTGAAGGTGAGGTGTGTTAGGGCTGGGACTGCATGAGTCTTGGAGCTCCTACCGTGACAGGTAGAAGCTGTTTGCTTTGTCCTGTACTGCTGTCAGAGCATTTCACTGATGCAGCAAAACCTCTGTTCTTCTCAAGCGATGTGCTGGTCTCCAGATCTCAGAAGAGCTGAGGTACCCCCATGTTAACTTCACATGGTGGGGCCGTGTCAAATCACATTAAAAATGTGATGTGAGGCTGCATGTGGGTGCAGCCGGCGTTCCAGCAGGGTCTCCAAGCGTGGGATCCCACCAGCAGGCACGCATGCTCCTGCTGCTGCAAGGCACCACTGCCTCTCCCGTGTGGCGGATCTGTAGGACAGTCAGCGGGTCTGGATCGTGGGGTCCCCCACAGGAGAGCCGTAGCTTCTCACACCCTTCACAGACACAACTACGTTAGCAGTGTCTGAATATGAGATAATCCCCTTGTTCTTTCTTTCCTCGTGTAGACTTCCACAATGGATGAGACCTCTGACGAGCCTCCCACTTCTGCCGTCCTCTTAGACAGCTGCCACTTCTCCCAGGTCGTCTTTAACGATGTGGAGAAGTTTTACATTCCTGGAGGAGACGTAACCTGTTATTACACCCTCACGCAGAACATCGTTCCTCGCAGGAAGGACTGGGTGGGCATCTTCCGGGTAAGTGAATACCGTGAAACCAGCCGTGCCAAGGATGAGAAGGCAGCAGCAGACAGAAACAAAAAGCTTGGGCTTTGATAGAACACAATTGGGGAATTTTTTTCAGTAATAACCTTGTGTTAGAGGACATCTTTATGGTGCCTAGGGACAAAGTGCCAGACCTGTCGTGATCAGAACAGCTTCGAGGCTAATCCAACACACTGATTGTCCTTTCATGCATAGACCACAACACTAAGAAGACTGGTTATTAATGCAAAAGTCCTCCCAGTAACTGATCTATGTGGAAATACAGTCCCATTACCATGGAATAATCATGAACTGTGTGATCCCATACAACAACTTTGCTGTTGCAGGTGGGATGGAAAACAACTCGGGAATATTACACCTTCATGTGGGCTCCTCTGCCCAGCGATGCCCGCAGTGATGCCGCTGTGCAGCAGCAGATCCAGTTCAAAGGTGAGGGGGGAGCTCAGGGGTGTATGTGCACGCATACACGAACGAGCTGCCACTAATAAGCATTACGTTGGCAATTACAGAAGGTCTGTAGGGCTGTGCTTTGAGAAACTTATTTCAAATAAGCCACAAAATGTCAAAATCTGTTTAATTCTGCCACCCTGGCAGAGTGATATTGTTTGTGTTCTTACCACTGGCACGAAGAGTTATTATACAGGAACAATACTGAGCTAAAATGTCTCTGCTTTCTGAGATTCCCACTTTCTGTGCTGTGTAGTTAAGAGGCCTGAATAATTAGAAGCTGCATATGATGGGGTTGTTGTGTTTGTCTGAAGCTTACTACCTACCAAAGGATGATGAATACTACCAGTTCTGCTACGTCGACCAGGATGGTGTGGTCCGAGGAGCCAGTGTCCCTTTCCAGTTCAGAGCAGAGACTGAGGATGATATACTGGTGGTTACCACGCAGGTGTGTGTCCTCTCTTCCTCTGTTTTTTCCTGCCTCAGCTTTTATTGCCATACGCTCATTGCTAACATGGAGTGATCTGGTAAATCTCCTGCCAAGCCAGAGCTCAGCAGTCTTGGATTCTATTCTTGGCTTTGCTACTGATCTGTCCCACAAATTCGGGTAGCCTTTGTTTCCCTACCTGCCGTTTATCAAACCAGTTTACTTAGATTTTGAGCTCTTTGCAATTGGGAGCTACTTATTACATTGTGTTTCAGGGCCTTTTAAATATTTTTAAATTAAAATGTTGTTTTCATGGAAACAGCCTCCCATCAGACGGGAGTAAGAGCCTGGACAATAACTGAGGTGCTGTGAAGCCAGGCACTTTTATTTTGCAGTGTCTTGTGTGCAGCCCTTTCGTTAATGACTACACTGCATGCGTGGTCCCTATCTAACAAACTGCAAAAAGCCCCAGACCTCTGCCTCTGCTGGCTTCTGCAGACACAGAAGGCATTGAGCATCTCCAAAGATCATGGGAATTATCACAGAATCACAGAATCACAGCACGTTAGGGATTGGAAGGGACCTCCAAAGCTCATCCAGTCCAATCCGCCTGCCGGAGCAGGAACACCCAGATGAGGTTGCACAGGAAGGCGTCCAGGCGGGTTTTGAATGTCTGCAGAGAAGGAGACTCCACAACCTCTCTGGGCAGCCTGGGCCAGGGCTCTGTCACCCTCACTGAGAAGAAGTTTCTTCTCCAATTGAAGTGGAACCTCCTGAATTATGTGCTCAGTATTCAAGGACTGGGTTGATGGTCAGTTTTGGACAGGCTGGGGAGAGTGAAGTTGCTGTCTGGTCTGCGCTAGTGGTGAAAGCAAGGGGAGGTACACGGTGTTCCCTTTTGCAGAGCTCATCTTTCTTTGCTCTTCACGCTGTGCTATTTGGAACGGAGCTTTTCAGCACTTCTGTTATGACCGAAGGACTTTGTTGCTTGCCAGGGAGAAGTGGAAGAGATTGAGCTACAAAACAAAAATCTGCGTAAAGAAAATGAGGAGCTGAAAGCAAGCTGTGCAAGTCTCCAGAAACAAAACAACGATCTGCAGGAAGAGCTCAACAAGGCACAGGTAAAAACAAAAAAAAGTTAATAAAATGAGTCAGAATCTTGAAGTCTGAAAGATGAAGAGGGACAGAGTCAGGTCTTGTTCCACTGTATGCTTCCAGGAGAAAATTAGAGAGGTTTCTCCCCATATAATCTCTTTAATCCTTTACGAAATCGTACAACACCTCTACTGTGATAAGAGCAATAATGATGAATGAAAGTCAGCAGCAGACACAGGAGTGAGGAATATATGGGAAGACAAGTGTTCAAAAATATTTTGTAGGCTGTCCTGAAGTCACGTTATCATTATCTTTTCCTCCTTCAGTTTTGCTCAGGGTTTCATATGAATGAAACAGGGTCTGAACGAGTAGTTAGGATGCAAAGGAGAGACTCCCCTCCTTCAGATGGGCTGCCTGGCACTGTTGCATTTGAGAGATTTTGCAGTTCAGTGCAGAGCAGGACTATTGCTTGGATCCTGTTTAATTCCTGTCAACCTCACTGTGTTTTTCAGGAGCTGCAGAATAGTTTAGAGTCTCTGAGGAGCAGCGCAGAGAATCTGGAGCTGGAGCTGAATTCCCTGAAAAAGGAAAATAAACAGCTAAAGGAGCTGGATGACCACAGAGAGGCAGAACTGCATCAGTAAGTGTTGTTACAACGTATGTCAAAACGGGATTTCATGTAAGCACCTTGCCTTTATGGATTAAATTTCCATCCGTTTAAGTATGGTGTGTTTTGATTTGTTCTGAGTAGACTCAAAGAGCAAATTCAGAATGTGACCTCTGACAAGGAACGCTTGGAAATGAGACTGAAAACAGCCCTGGAACACATGGACCAGCTGCAGGTAGCAAACATATTATAGCTGCTCTGCTTTGCCTCTGACGGAGAACTGAGCAATCTTGAGTGAATATGTGGTGTACGAGTTCCTTTTTTGATTACATGGGTTCTTTAGGAAAATGTCAACCTTTGTTATGATTTGACCTCCAGGAAACATCAAGAAATCTGTGCTCTGGAAGGGAGAGTAGAGGGGGATGTGCTAAGAGAAACTGTAAGGATTTTATGCCCTGAAAACACCCCCTTCACATTCTCATTAAGTTTACCAAAATCAGACTGTTGTTTATCTCCTGCTAGCTAAGGATCCGGGCAGAAAACACTTCTGTTTTGAAAAACATTCTAAAATTATGTTCAGTACTTGTGTGAAAACGAGCCTTCTAGCTGGGAGGTATGTAGAGGGAGAAGGGAAACTGAAAATAGCTTGGTTGTTAGGTCTGGGACACGGCAGACCCAGAACGACGGGCTCACCATCTGGCTATGGCGTCTCTGTTTTTCTCTTTGTTCTCTGACTTCCCAGATGAGAAATTTGATGTTGAAACTTAAAAAGCTCCTCAGAAAACATGTGAATGAATACTGTGTTCTGATGGATACATCAGCTCTAGTATTTTCCCATGTAACTATTCTGTTTCTACAAAGGTTTTAATGGAAAAATGTTTGCAGAAAAAAAAAATAATCAGCCGTGGGTTCTGGAGCTTTGTTTTCTGCAGCAAAAGATGCCTGTGCTCCTCACTCAGAGCTGTTTAAATTTTCACTCTCTGTGCACCCTTCTTTCTCCCTAGTCTCAAGTGTTGAATTATGAGAAAGAAGTGGAAAACCTCTCTCTTGTGGACCATGACAAGACAGAACAGCTTGAAAGTTTAAAGGAGGAGAATCGCCAGTTACTCATGACTAGAACTCTACAGGTAAAGAGAAATGTCCATGGTGGGATGGGTGTCCACATAGGTGGCTCTGTGAACACACCCTCTGACAGATTCTTACAGTGTACATATATAATAACACTCTTCCTTCATAGCAACACGACTTGATGGCAGATCTTGAGGAGCAGAAGCGTTTGTTTCAGATTCTGCAGGCAAAGAAGAGTGAAGCTGATGAGGAAAATCAGGTGAGAACTTGGCACAACTCCCTCACCTTTCTTCTGTATTGAATACGACACGGACAATCTCACTCTAGTGTTCCATTAAACTTTTTACCAAACGGATCGTTAATTGTGCCCACACGTGCACCATCACCTAAGGCCAGGCCGCCTGTGGGCCTGTACAAATGCCTGTATGTGTACGCTTACAGTTTGTTGTTGCTGCCACATCTGTACGGCCTAAGAAGGGTCCAAAAACTTGCACCTCTTTCCTCCACCACGGAATAGACTGCTTTAGTCATAATAGCATGGGGATTTTCAAAAACTCCTTAATTCTGACACCACTGAAATGAATGGACTTGCTCATTTAAACGGACATAGCCCTTTTGTCCACTCTAAACAATGACTGCTCAGTTTTGTTCCTTACTCTGCATGACTTCAGGACAGTCTTCTGTCTTTTAAAATGTATCGCTCCATTGTGATCATCTTGTCTGCCCTTCTGAGCAGGCCACAGAATAGATCCTTGTCCTTCCTTACCTCACTTTCCCATTCTGTCAAGTGGGTCTAACACTGAGCTACCTAAAAGAAGTTCAGAGCAATTTTGATTCTGATATAAGAGGATCTGTTAGTGCCAAGCATGACTTGTCTCTGAAATGGTCTTCTGAGCTTCTAGAAATTCATTCTGACCTTCTGTCCCTTTGCAGAAACTAAGGGAAGAGAATGACAGACTCCTGAGGCAAATCTCGCAGTCTAGAGAGGTTTCTTCCTCCTCTGCTGTTCCTCAAGCTCAAGCTCCGATTCCCGCTCCTGAAGCAGAAGGTCTTCTGTTTGGAAATCCATATAGAGGTGAGATTACTTGGCATTCTGTCTTAAACCGCAAATACAGGGCAGTTAAAGTCCCAGCAAATTCTCCTCCCTCTCGAATTGAATGCTGTAGAAAAGACATTCTTAGCAGCACCTCTGTGCAGCTTTGCTTGTGTGCAGATGACTTGGCAGCTGCAAAATGCAGGTGTTAAGAGCTGAGTGAAGTGATCAGCTGCCTGTTCATTTTCTGCCGAGAGAGACAACTATTAGCAAGTTCATTCAGCTGCGAGACAGCTAGTTCTGTGGCTTATGTCCAGTTTCCATAGGCCTAAATATAGAGGTTTAGATACAGAGTCACATCCTCATGTTTCAAGAATTACCAGTTATCAGCACATTACATTGTTAATAATTTTGTCGTGGCTAAATTAACAACTTCTTTTTCCAGTTGCAGGAGCAAGCCTGGGGGCAGGAGCTGCAGACTTTGTAAGTAAAATGGACATGACTGGACGTGCATTTGTGGTTTATGGACACAAATTAGTGGTTTGAAATAAAAGACTCCAGGTTCAGCTCTGTAACCAATTGTCTACTTACTGGCTTGGTCCTGGTAAGACAGTGGACAGCAAAATGAAGCCATATATGCTTAATATGTAGAATTAATAAGAGTTACATATTTTAAGGAAGAGAAAGGAAACTGTATTGACCTTAATCCTTAAGGACCAGCTCTTGGCAGCATCTGATGTCAGAATGAGCAGCATGCAGCTGCTAAATACCTGATTTCATATCGGACACATGATGTGTGCTACATAGGATGCAAAGTTAAAGTACCTCTCAGAAGCTCTTGACTTTTACGTGCTATTTAGAGAAGCCTGGAGACATTTGAAAACTTGAGAGTGTTACAAGTCGGAAAGACTTGTCCAAAAGTGATAATATCTGACTACTAAACTTCTCTGTTTCTTCTCTCTGAGTATAATTTTTTCAACTGACTTTATTTGCATTTGCTTTGTATTTCAGGTTTCTATAAGGAAATGCCCCTTGTGCGATGAAGTATTTCCTGAAGATATTGAAACAAGTCAGTACGAGGCCCATGTGCAGAGCCATCTTCTGGAATGCCCACTCTGCAGTGAGAGCTTTGAAAAGTCCAATAAGCAGGTGTTTGATGACCATCTTTTTTGTCATGGCCTGGAATAATTCTGAATTCCTATCTGCTCTGTAGAATAGGTGGCAGAGCCTGCGGTATAGAATAGACAAAAGTCACTGCATAGGCTTGATTCTTGCTAATAAAATCACCCAGCCAAGACTGACTGTGCCACTAATACTGTAATTCTGTGCTTTCTGTTCACGCAGCACATGACCGGCACATAAATCAGGTCAGACTTCCACATCCTGAAACTGAGTCACGAAGGTGTCTGCCTTGGATCAAGTACATACGCTTGTTAAATGAGTTACAAATCCTATAATTAGTAATTCAGTTGAATGTAGTACCAGTTCTTTAGAAAAGGGTTGGCCGTGTAACTGTGTATCCAGGTAGGGATCCAAGTGATGGGATGTAGTGCAGCAGTTTTCTGTGCTTGGCTGATACATCTCTATTATAATGGTTTTATTCTTTAGTATAGCACCAAAGACCAGAGACATTCTATAATCTTTTAGGATCATACCTTCAGTCCTGCTCAGCAGAATTAATTATTAGTAAGTAAAAAAACCAGCGCTATATAAAAATGCATCTTTTCTTTCACCATCAGTCGTAAAGCAAGTTAAAGAGACCCAATATCTGTTTGCAGATCTGAAGATCTTGGGCCCTCCTTCCAGCAGAGTAGGCAGCAGAGCTTATTCTAGGGCGAGGCACATGCGCTGTTTTCTCCATCCATCTTGTGATCAAGAAAACCTGAAATTTTGAAGCAGGGAAGGTCGGTATTGCATGGAGCCCATAGAGAAGCAGTAGCCGAGTTGTCTTGGCAGCACAGAAGATAAATGATCTCTCAGTCAGAAACTGGGAATCCTCATTGAAGGGAAATTATTAATTTGGATTATTTGTCTTTTATGTTTCTATACCTTCTTGATTTAACAAGAAGAGTCTGTTCTCGAACCAAAACGTGTGTTTCAAAACTTAAGTGCCTTGGGATATTACAATGCTTTGTGCACAGATTATCCGGTTACTATTTTTATTTCTGCTTCGGGATTTTCAATTTGTGATTAACAGCCCTTTTTTTTTTTGCCATGCAAACACAGATGGGGAAAGGTTTATTATCTGGCTGTATTAGGGTC